TTAGAAGAAAGCATATGGCATATCTGTTGAACGTGTTTGTCAACCATGTGTACCGGTTATGTGCACAGGTCTGGCTGTCTATCTGTCTAACTGTATGTCTGGCTGTCTGTATGTATGTACGCCTATTATTCTGTATTCTGACTGTATGTAAGCCTGTCTGACTGTATGGCTATCTGTCGGTCTGACTCTATGTTTGTCTGTCTCTTTCTCTCACGGAGTCTCTCTTGATTACATATCTTACCCCATCTCTCTCTCTCCTCCCTTCTCTCGTTTTCTCTCTTTCTCTCTCTCTCTCTCTCTCTTTATCTCTCTTGTATAGTAACATGAGTCCTGGACATTAACAGCAGAACTTGAAAGAAAAATAAAGGCGATGGAGATGAGATGTTTAAGAAGCATTCTTGGTATCTGCTAAAGAGTCCATATCTCTAACGAGCAAGTGAACTCGTCAAGCAATTGGGCAGTACCATGACCTCCTGGTGACTGTAAAAAGGCGCAAACTGGAGCGGTATGGCCACGTGACAAGAAAACAGGGGCTCGCCAAATAAATCATGCAGGGCACAATGAGAGAATGGAGAGGAAGAGGAAGACAGAGAAAAAGATGGGAGGATAACATCAAAGAGTGGACGGAACTAAAACTGTGCGAAGTGCAGAAAACAGAGAGGAATGGCGAAGGATAGTTTTGATGTCATCTGTGGCGCCCCGACGGTCCAAGGGCTAAGGGACATGATGATGATGATAGGTGAGCTTACATGCACATGTTAATCAAACAATATTTTTGTTGAAAGTTAAGTAGCGATGCCTACTTTAAAACTTTTCTGATTGTGAATGAGGAAACAAAAATACCGCTATAAAATTTTGTAAGTCAAGATACATTTTTGTCAAGCCCATGCTGCTCGGTGGATAATCAGGTCCTGTACTTTTTAATATTTCTTGTCCTCTGCTACTAACAATGAGTACAACCAAAGTAAGACACAATGAACTAGATCTATGGATAGAGCTTAACATATCAACTAGATCTATGGATAGAGCTTAACATTTCAACCAGATTTATGGATAGAGCTTAACATATCAACTAGATTTAGATCTATGGATAGAGCTTAACAAATCAACTAGATTTATGGATAGAGCTTATCATATCAACCAGATTTATGAATGCAGC